TTTTGTATCTCTCAAATAACCACTTGTGTCATATCAACAATAATTAATAAATTCTCAAAATCCTTTTTTTTTTTTTTTTTTTGCGATACTACTCTAGATAACTTCATCTCGAAAAACCTCATCCAAATGACCGCAAAAAGAGTTTTAGAAGCACATACATACCCTTATGGCGGCAAATTGTCATTGTTGTTAAAACTCATTTTTCTTGCAGTGAAACTATAAAGCACCACGTCTGCTATCTGCCGCTAGTCTGGCATCAGCCGATTCACGGGTACCAAACGCCGATCAGTACATGTTTTGAGACTGCACAAGTAAATTAACAAAGCAAATAATTGATTTTTGCGGAAAAAATCCAATTTGGGTTCCGTCGGAGAATGGTTACTCCCATTGGAAAAACTGATCGCGATCACCTTTATTATTATATATGTATCTAGAGTTCTAGACTCGTGTTATAAAATCCTCCATCCGAATTCCATTATCACCATATCAAAGGATCCATCGATCGATCAAGGAGAGGAAATACACGCAGTTGACATGATGATGAAGGCAGTTGTTGTAGCCATACTAGTTACACTACTTACTGTTGCTGCAGCCCAAGCCCAAACAAACTACGAGGATCCAAGTCGTACCTTCTGCAACCCGGAGGGCCCACATAGCGCGGAGCCATGGGCCGTGGCCAAGGCCAACCTTCTCAACGACTTGACTTCCAACACATTCGAGCAGCCCAATCACAGGTACTGGACCAACTACACCGCCGGCGTCATCACCTTCTTCTACGGCTACGCTTCCTGCGCAAAGAAGATGGTGTGCGGCGGCGGCGGCGGCGACAACAAACAATACTACTGTTCCACCACGTCTGATCAGTGCTTAGCCTGTCTTACGAACGCCAATTCTTATCTGACGACAACCTGCTACAAGAAAATAGGGGGCTACGTCACCGAGAACACCGATGTGCTGCAGTGTTACATGGAGTATGAGCAGACCAAGTTTTGGTAGCTAGGCAGATGCATATTGCAGTTTAGTCTTTCCACTTTTCGGCCGTGGCAAAAGAAGCATCGTAGATGCAGAGAACGCCAAAGATTTTACCCATGATGGTGGTGTGTGGTGGTAAGAAGCTTCCCAAAGATGCAATAATAAATTGACGTTTTGGAATTTGGGTGCTCGTCAAAATAGCTCAATTGATGAACATGAATAAACTTACGGTTATAAACGCGCCGCTATGGATCGGGAAATCGCTTGAATCGATAAAACAAGAATACGAAAGCGGGAATCGAAAACACGACATGCTATTTACGTGGTTCACTAACACGATGTGTGTTAGTCAGTCCACGGGCGAGAGAGAAAATTTCACTATATCGAGGAGATTACAGATTACAGAGGAGATGAGAAGTATTTATACTTCTACATATGGTTCTAAACCTAATCCAGTCGATCGTAGCGAATAATAGTCCAATTCAAGTCACATCAACACTTACCTTAAAGCCGATAAATTTCACTTACGTAGATCACTTAATTAAATGACATAATTAGATAAATTAAATAGAATTGCTAACTAGCCTCCTTTGAACCAACCCCGCTGTATTAGGTCGAGTAGGTCAAAAATGTTATCGCTTCCACTGAGCATATATGTGTTTTAAAAGAGGCGATTCGCGCCTTTGTGTACCTTTGATGAAAAGCAAGGTTAGTAAGTTGAGTTTTGGATTTTTAGCAACGTATTTAATGGGGGGTACTTACTACTTTGCAATTAGGGGTGTGCAATGGTCCGGTCCGTACCGGACCACATCGGACCAAACCGTTGTTAAGACCGGACCAGACCGAGTAAAATGTGGTCCGGTCCTTGGTCCTAATGAATTTTATAATTACTGAAGAAATGGTGGACCGAGCTCATATTTGGACCGGACCGAACCGGACCAAATGGACCAAATGCAAGAATGATCCGGTCCTTGGTCCTAACATGTCTTTCACTAATGGACCGCGGTTTTCATGAGTTTGGTCCGGTCCGAACCGAACCGAACCGTTGCACACCCCTATTTGCAATACTTTCAAGTTTCAAGCTACCGGACTAGCTCTCAAATCAAACGCCATCTAATTTAATTACCCCCTTAATTTAACCTAGGTTCCTCCAAGTTAGTCAATTTAGTATCTTAGGTTATTAATCATTAAATTAATTTCTTATACGATTCTGATGAATTTTTTTGTCAAAAGATTACTCGTATTACCCAGAAAAGTCTGAAAATATCTAGACACAGAGAGTCACATAGCTGAAAACAGCCAAAAACAAAATTGAACCCCACCAATGAAGGGACCACGAAAGGGCTAATAAACATATAAACTTGTAATCTAACATCAAGATAAAATTAATTTTTATATTCTAATTTCACTTATCATAATATTCTACCCAGCAAAACTAATATTTTGTTAACTAATAATTTAAATTGCCTTGCCTATTAAATTTCTTAAGGAACTACTTAAGAACATCATTCACCGTATTATTGGATCAATTAACTAAAGTATCTCTTTGTCAAAAAAAAAACTAAAGTATCTCATACTTAATTAACTCATACTAAATTCCTTGCAGACTTTGGTCTTTGTTATATTGTTTAGATCAAGGTTCAAGAAAGCGCTAGGCGTAAGACGAGCGCTCGGCTCCTGACTTGCGTTTAGGCCGATTAAGCGTAGGCTAGGCACGCCTAGGCGTTCAGAGCAGAAGCGATGAATATTCTCAAATATTTCCTGTTTTCTAGAAGTTCATATAATATTAGAAACACCTTGTTCTTAACAATTAACATAATATATAACAAGCAAGTAGTGAACATTTTCTTGAATTACAAGTTTATAAAATGTCGAAAAACTAGTGCATGAAGTTGAAAAATCAGCATAGAAATACTGGACATCAAGTGAATCAAACTAGAGATTGCAAGGCAGAATTCACCATTGATTCTAATGCATACACGTAGATTAACATCCATGTTATAGTAGTGCTTCAGAATCATCAAACACGAAAGGCTGAGATTTGTATATTCATTCACTGGTTTATTTCTTAGTCGTGATTTTTAAAAATTGCCAAACAGTTATGTCAAAATCATCCTAATAAGAAGAATATATCCATCCAACCTCACAAACACCAAGCTAAATACAAGTGCCCATTGAAATGGCATGACTAGTCTAATCTTTCTACACAGATGGGGTTTTTTATTTGTTTACCAGTTACCACACAAACGACAAAACCAAACCCCTCCTGCTGAATTTTCCATCCAAGCTCAATTTTCTAACCTAAGATCTGGCTCTCTCGAGCCAAAACACGGGGAGGGAAAGTCCAGCATACAAAACGTTGTGTTGTGAGGTAGGGGAGCTGATTTAGATGACCAACGCCTAGGCCCCCACTCCATCACTGAGTCTCGCTTCTTCCCTAATTAGGCGTAATTCCCAGCTATTAAACACAGTCAGCGCTTTTATCAGCGCTAATGCCAAAGGCGAGGCGTTCCCTCAATGCCTTGTGTCTAATTGAGTCTAGGCGTGCGCCTAAACGTGCCTTCTTGAAGACTGGTGTAGATACTTCAATAAGTACCTTCCAACATCTCTGACGTTGAAGTGAGAAAACACAACATTTAGAATATGCTGCGTGAATTATGAAGCGTTGTTTGTAGTGAAGAAGGAAACATGTGTGCATGTTTGCAGGAACCATATGTCTCACTAGTCTACAATCGTGCGCTCACTGATTGAGATTATGCATGTTTCTTGTACACTTTTGTTCGATGCCCCCATTTTCTTGTGGGTTGCTCTGGACAATTACTTTCTCTACAAACATGTGAGATCCTACATCCCACTCTTTATTCAAAATAGCGGTATTGTCAATATGTTTGACCAACAAGCCATGTTGCTAAATCCGCCGGAACCAATCAAGCACTCAAAATTCCGGGTCAGCTTCTCAATCTCGTCCCACCCGTACCTCGAAGGAGAACAATCGTCATAATCCCCTGCTCCTCCTTTCCCTTCCTCCTCACTCTCAACCTCACCCCAGCAGCAGGAATCATCTGAAACCGCCGCAACCCTGTTCCCGTTGGGTCCACGACGACGTCGGGTGTTAAAACAATTGGGTATACAGCCGAACGCCATGGGAGAGACGAAAGAAAAAATAGAGGATCAGGAAAACAGAGTAGTAGCGAGACAGAGAGACACAGAGAGAGGAGACTGTATGGGGTGAGTTTAGGATGAGAGGACGAAGATGGAGGAAGGGAAATGCCTAACCATCTGTTTTCGATTTACTTTTCAGGGGGGGGGGGTTGGGTCTCGGGTTTGGGTTTAGGGTCAATTAATTGGGTTGGTTCGCGGGTTGGGCAAGAATGGCTAACAGGGCGGGTAAGGCTGAGCTGGCAGGTCGGGGGGGAACCGGGTCGTCGTTTTTTAATGTTTAAATGTGCTGACTGTGTCTTTCTGTTAGCCACGTCATCACTTAACGGTCGTCATTAACGGAGGTTAACGGAGAGTGACCGAACTTGGACTGTTCAACTAATTCGAGTGACTATAAATGGAATAAATCAATTCAAGTGGCAAACGTGAAATTTTTAAGGAATTCAGGTGACCAAACTTGTAATTAAGTCTAATTTAATGGTCAGAAATTCTGAAATTCGCTGGTTCCTCGTGATCCGTATAACAAATGTCGTATATGTATCGCCAGCTTTGACAAAGTCCAAGCTCGCCTAACTCCAACGCATGGTTTTTTTTTTTTGACCAAAAACTCCAACGCATGGTTTAAAATAAAGTTTCTTTGTCGTTGCCAGCTAATTGCTTTTTATATTTACTTCCATTTCCAGCTAATTAGTTGCCGCCCTATGTCTAATTGTCTGTATACCACCCCCTAATCGTCCGACACGGCACCGAATAAGCCACGTGCTTCCATCTTAGCGTTCAATCTCCACAAACCAACCTTTCATCTTGACCGTCGATTCTCCATCTCCATCCTATATAGTTCTCTCTCTGTCCATGAATCCATTCATTTCATCATTATCTTCTCCGTCTCCCCCATTCCCCATTCCCTTCTCCGCCTTCGCGTTTAATCCAGATCTCGTCTCCATGCTCGTTTGCCATGGCGCGTGGCTGATGTCTTCGTGTAGATCTCGCGACGATCTACCCTGTGATGGTGGTTTCAGCGGCGGCGATGTTCGTTTCGGAACTTAGGCTAGCATGACTCAGGTCTGCTCAAAGGTTATAATCCGAGCTCTTGATTCCCGATTGTTGCAGGTTTCCGTTGTATCATTAAATGATTTCCTGTTTTTCTCCATGGCAGGTCGGCCAGTCTTTTGCTTTTTGTTGATTTGGGATATTGCCGTCGGTGCCTCGGTGGTATGGTTCCGTGTATGTAATTAGTCGTGATTCTTTTGGCAGATTATTGTGTTCTTCAATCGTTGAAAGCTTCTATTTGTTTATGCACACGTAGATCTGGTATGTAATTTGATCGTCGATGAAGACGTACACGAATTCTTCTGCTGGCAGATCCTGATCCAGTCGCTGCTTTTGGTCCAGATCCGTGCTTTTGCAGCTTGCGGTCGCCGGCGGAGAAGTTGGAAGATTTGTGTGATTGTGGGATGATGTATAAGATATGGGAGGACGAAGGGCGCTGTGTTCGGTGGCCTGGCTGTCCTGGGTAATATCTTTGTCATCCGACCTTTGCCATGACGGGTGCGCTCGCTTGGCAGGTCACCCAATTGAATAAAAAAGGAATCGTTTTGTGTTTCAGGGGGAAGTTCGCACGGGGGATTTGCCCGGGTTCTTCCCTCTGCTGTCTCGCGTCTCTCTGTCTTCACCCTCTTCCCTTTCTCCATCCTTGTCTCGGTTATGCCTTACTGTGCTACAAAGCTCGAGCTTTTCTCTGCCCGACTATCAAAGAGGTTGTTTACAAGGGCGCATCTATCAATCAGCATCACAGTAACATCCTTGTCGCCGAGTGCGATTCGATCGGCAACCTAAGGTACTTTCTACCCTACCAGGTCACTACTTACCATATTCGATTCTATCTTGATTCTCGACATTAGCGTATTCATTACCAGTACTATTCTACTCCGTCATAATACTACGACGGGTTGGTTCAGGAGAGCTATTGAATTATATCATACTCCTGGTACTGAAAATCATTTTGAATCTTTTGCAAAATTGACAGTTGTTAAAATTTGGCGTTCTTGGGCTTCATTGTGTGAGGTAACTGTTATATTTGATCGTTTTGCCCTATTATTCCCACCCTTCTAAACACGCCCCTACAACTACAAGGCTGCAGGGTACGTGGCGTAATGAAATAGACAATATTCTTTTTGTAGAGTTAAAAAGAACTACGATTACATCTATCATTATGTGCTGCAGCCCGTAGATGATATTGCGTGATCAGCTCATAGCAGTGATTATTTGAATGCTGATGGTAATCCTTTTGGCAATGTTAATCCTTGATGTAGCATTCATTTGTTTGGTCGAGCGGATTTCCACATGTATAGAGATCTCTAGGTTGTGAAACTTCAATAGCTGGATAGATGTGAAAATGGGTTATGCTCGGAATGAACTTCAAAGGAGTCTACAAGCCTTCTGGTTCTGTCGAGGTGATACTGATCTTGCGTCTTATCTTGTATTTTTATTTAATGACAGTCCTTTTATCCATTATGCTTGCCCGCAAACTGGATATGATGATAGTATATTCTTGATTAGCTTGTGCAACTGTTCTGTCGCTTATCTTTATATGTTGGTTGCCAAATGTTGGCATTTACAACTTGATAATCAATTGATGACCTATTACTCGGTCCTTGTGAGCCCTTTGCCTGGATTTCTGTAAGTTCTGCATGTTTTTATAGCAAACTTCATTTTGTTGCGTGGGTTCGCGATGAAGCAACCATTTATTTCTCTAATTTTGGCTGGAGACAGTTCCTAACTTCCTATCTGATGCGTCCATTTGCACTTACTAGTAAGCAAAACGAATTTTCAGATGCTCTTAACACCATGTATTAGCGGTTTTAATTCAAGGCAAGTACATCATTCGTAACAATATATATTTCAAATATATGTTAAAAGAACCTCCAATACATTTGAAAGTTAGCCAAGTTAGAAATGACAAGTAATAAGTAAATGTGAACCTCTTCATGTGCAGAGGGTTGTGTTTATAATTTTGTTCGTTTGCTTTGGACTGTTAGTGCTGTTGAAGTTTTTTGGGAGTCTTGAGAAACTATTTGTGAAGATCTGTAAGCTCAAAGTGGTAGAGCGCTCCATTCTCGCAGGGGAATGTGAGAGGTTGGTGGTTCGAATCCACTCGGATCTCGGGTTTCGTGAGATTTGGGGGTCGTTTGGAGAATATGAGTTTAAATCTACAGATTATCAACAATCTAAAGATTCTAACTCTTCGGATTGTTGAAAACAGATTTTAAAATGTTTATTGTTTGGTAACTGTGATTGTTAACAATCAAGTAAACTAAAAAATTCATTTTATATTAAATAACATGTTTATCCTTAATAAAAAATTAGAGTGTTCGAGAAATATAAAAAAACTTTGTTGATAAATATATTTCATGTGATAAATAAATAAAAGGAAGAGAAAAACTAGGAGAGAAAAAATCTCTCGAATCAAGATACAGAATCTCTCTGGTTATGAGAGATTTGATATCCGCAGATTTTAGAGATTTGAAATCTCTAAAGCTAGAATCCATAATACAAAAAGTAACAAAAAAACATAACTTTCTACAAAATCTACGGATTCAATGAATCCATGTCCTGAATCCTGTTCTCCAAACGACCCCTTGGTTCATTTTGGGTTTCGTTTTTTTCTGTTCTCATTTTGGCCACGGCTGGTCAATCGTTGGGAAGGAAAGGATTACCATTTGCTAAAATTTTATTAGTTTCTACCAAAATTTCTTTTTATTAGTGACGAATTGAACCGGACGGTAATAAAATGGTGGATTATAAATGAGAACATATAAATAGACACATAAAATAGCCCATCTAATATTCTAAGTCACAATATTTATGAATGTTGGACAATGATTCAACACAATAACAAGCTTGCTTAAGTATTTATTTTATTAAATCACCTTATTATAATCTAGTTTTTGCCCGCATGTTGGGCGTTATGGCTTGTTTGATTTTGATCTTTTCTTATTTTCTTGTAATATTTATATTTTCTCATGTGGCTTTTGGAATCCTTCATCCTTGTACATCATTTTGACACTCATGGAGCTAAAATAAATTTAATTGTAAATCTTGATCCATTATAAATAAATTCTTTGCAATTTTGTTATTTGACTTTGGTAAATCATTAATAAATTGACGAAATTGTTGAGCGATAGGAATCTCGACTTCTTTGTAGATGTTTCAGTTTTATTTTTTTATAAAAAAGAAAGAAAAAAAAAACAAAATACTTATCTGTGTACTTGAGGAGAACCAAAAAAAAAGGTAAAGATCTAGAGATGTTGCTACTCTAAAATGTAAGGAGGCTGGATCTGTGTTGATTTCGGCTTGTCTTCTCTTCTTTTCCCCCTTCATCTACTTCCTTGCTTCCCCTGTAGATCTTGGTGTTTTGGAGATGTGGCTCTCGCCATGGACTCGGAATGAAGATTTTTGAAGATAGAAGGTCATCCTCTTGGATCCATCACTGACCGCCCTTCACCTGAAGTCTCGTGTTGGGGATTTGACGGTATTTGGTCAGACATGATTTTCGTCGGAGGCATCTCATGCTACTTCTGCAGCATTCTATCCGGGTTGGTGGGCGACGACTTTTCTTCTGTGTGCTCGTTTTGAGCATCTTCGCATGACGTCTGGAGGTTGTAGGTGTCGAGGGAAGGAATCGGGATCAACTAGGACAGAAATAAAGCATTGGGTCGAACTCTTCTTTGGTGTTCTGCCAGTTGCTGCCAGCGGCGGTGAAGTTCCAAGAGCAAACATTTTGGCAGCTAGGGTTAGAAGAGTTGTGTTCGGGTCGAGCCTTGGACTGGCCCCTATTGGGTTTCCAGCGTTTTGGGTGGGCTTTGGGTTTGGCTTCTCTAGCTTTTGTTGTTATTTTGTTTGTATGTTTCCTTTTTCTCTGGACTTGACCCATTTACATTCTTAATGAAACCGTTCAAAAAAAAAAAAAGGTACTTGAGGAGAACCAAGAGGGAAACTTCTAAATGTTTGACCGGCTAATCACCCAAAGAAAAAATAAGAACGATATACACGATTCTAGGTCCATAAAACTGTACCGTACTGGTGGTTCAACCACGAAATACCAGTATTGGAGGTTAAACCGGTAGGTGGTATTTAACGGTATAACGGTTGAACTACGGTTAAATCACGATTTTATCATAAAAATACCATACCGCTGACTTTCACGGTACAGTCTCTGGTACGGTTTCATAGACCATACTTCTAATTCTAAGCATGGTCCATGAAATCGTACCGGAGACCGTACCAGGAAAGTCAGCGGTATGATGTTTTATGGTAAAATCGTGGTTTAACCGTAGCTCAACTGTTATACCGATAAATACCGCCTATCGATTTAGCCTCCAATACTGATATTTCGTGATTGAACCGCCCATACGTTACAGTTTCATGGACACTCCTTGTAAGATTGTACCTGGAAACCTATGGCCGCCTTTTATTTTTTGGATGAATTATTCAATCCCCTATTCTTGTGATGAAATTTAGAGTTTAGCTTGTTGAGTGAATAGTTGCAACTTATCATTTGGATAGCTAAATGTGAATTGTTTTAATAATATATAATGAAGATTATTATTTGCCGCCAAACAAATTATTATTTGCCATTCACAATTTATATGAAAAAATAAATAATTTTTTTTGGCAAACATAGCTATAATATATCCCTTTATTATGACTCTTTATCAAACATGCTCCTTTATTATTTTTTACATCAAACATGCCCTTGTACTTTGTAAAAATGATCAAACATGCCCTTTTGTTAAAATTTTCATCCAAAAATCGTTAACCAAGGCCGAACTTTAGTTTGGGCGACACAAATGACTAAAATATCTCTAATAAATTCACTTTAGAAGTTTTTTGGTTCTTTTGTATAATCAAATCATTCAAATAATTTCACTTTGAAAAGACCCAGGGAAATAAAACAGGGGGACAAAACTGACATTTTTACTCCTATTTGCCGATGTCGGGTCGTCTAAATCTCGTTTCAACCATGATTGACGATTTTTTAAATGAAGATTTTAACAGAATGGCATGTTTGATAATTTTATCAAAATACAAGGGCATATTTGATGTAAGAAATAGTAGAGGGGCATGTTTGATAAAACGACATAGTAGAGACTAGAAGGTTGTCAACCCGCGGGTCGACCCAATTTGACCCTAACCCAGTGAGAAAAACGGGCCGCACGCACCCGCCGGGTCGGCCGCTACAAGGTACCGGGTTGGAGGTCAAATTGTGTCATTTTTTTCTTTGATTTGCGAAATGCGCCTATTTTCCGATTTTTCTTTTCGCCTAACTCAATTTTTGAAATCCTATTTGAATATTTATGTTATATAAGTGTGTGTGAATTTTCACTATCTGTTGGATCTAAATACGATATGTTATTTTGGTGTAATATTATATGTTATAACTCATATGTTAGATAAGATTTAATATAATTTACGAGGATAAGTACAATATAATGACTATTTCCATATTTCCGGGCCAAACCGAGCTAAAACAGTCGACCCATTAACCCTTAAACCACTAGCTCGACCGGGTCCGGGCCAACCCACGGGTTGACAACCTTTACTAGAAAGATATATTATATTCAAATGATAAGTAAAGATACAAGGAAAATATAACTTAAAAAAAGGCAAAATACACTTGCATAGCCAAAACTATCACCTTTGTGCCACTTATAGCCAGATTTGGCGAAATACCACTAATAGCCACTTTTGAAAGATGTTGCGTGCCAGATATAGCCATTTCCGTTAGAAACTATAACGGTGTTAATAACACCGTCAACTTATTTGACGGTCGGCTGACGAGGCGCCAATTCAGCGGACACGTCAGCGACAACTAAGCAAATAGTGACACGTCAGATATTTA